CTAGTAAAGTGACCAAAATGCTGGCTTGCATCCATAGATGCTTCTCAAGCAAATCCCGGGACGTCGTTCTCCCCTTGTACATGGCCCTAGTGAGGCCGCAGCTGGAGTACTGCGTCCAGTTTTGGGCTCCACAATTCAAAAAGGATGTGGAGAAGCTTGAGAGAGTCCAGAGAAGAGCCACGCGCATGATCAGACGTCAGGGAAGCAGACCCTACGATGACAGGCTGAGAGCCCTGGGGCTCTTTAGCCTGGAAAAGCGCAGGCTCAGGGGTGATCTGATGGCCACCTACAAGTTTATCAGGGGTGACCACCAGTATCTGGGGGAACGTTTGCTCACCAGAGCACCCCAAGGGATGACGACTATGTCGAACGGTCATAAACTACGACAAGACCGCTTCAGGCTGGACATAAGGAAGAATTTCTTTACTGTCCGAGCCCCCAAGGTCTGGAACAGCCTGCCACCGGAGGTGTTTCAAGCGCCTACATTGAACACCTTCAAGAGCAAGCTGGATGCTTATCTTCCTGGGATCCTATGACCCCAGCTGACTTCCTGCCCTTTGGGCAGGGGGCTGGACTCGATGATCTTCCGAGGTCCCTTCCAGCCCTAATGTCTATGAAATCTATGAAATATTTGGATTCCATAATAGTCATCAGAAACTTCATCGTACACTTTAGTGGGGGTAGATTTAGGCTGACTTTGAGTATGTTTAAAATTCTGTGTTCATAATGACTCGGATACTATGTTGTATTTTAGTTGGCTTTTAATGACATTTATAGAAGGGGAAGAACCTGCTTCTCATGACCAGCCATCTCTCTGTGGAACAGTTTGAAAACCTGTTTTACAGTATTGCCAGTGGCTCTTCATTTGGAAAGTCAGTGATGTGTTTGGCCTTAATTTTGCAAATATGTAGCAAAATGTCCTTTTATTCATGTGAGGAGTCACCAAGCTTAGGTGTTTTTGCCTCATTGGGGCCTTTATTTGTACTGTTGTATAAAGTCCTCTATTTTGCAGTGATGCAAACTCACAAATTGCAGTAAGCATTCATCCAAAGGTAGAACTATAGACATAGTACATTGAAAAGACTTTCTGTTCAAAAAGAATATTGCCCACAAATTATTCTGAATAAATGCTGCCTATATGTCTTTCAGTGATCCAACCTTTGGGGCCTGTAGCTCTGCTACCAGGCATATATCGTTGATATTTTTTTTCTCATTTTATTTATATCCCTCCACCTCTTGTACCACTCTTAATTCTTTTCCCGCTTCAGTCTTCCTATCTTTAATTATTTGTAGACTTAAGCTTCTTCCCATTCCTTACCCTACTTATTTTCTTGTCAGGTGGCCAAGTGTAGCTGTTTAATCCTTCCTCATAAATCAATCTGCATTATTTTAGTTAGCATTTTAATTTCCTCCAGTTTTTTCTTTCTGTCAGTGCAGTACTCAGAATGGAATGAAATACTCCATTTTGGAGGAGAGTATATAGAACTGGTACCTTCTTTTTTTATGCTTTTGTGTGCTGTCTTGCCCCCCTGCTGAATCTTTGGTGCCTTGTATAGACTTACTTCTAAAACAAAGAAATTTCTGTCTTTCAGTGGAGAAACAAGATACAACAAAGACAAGATACTTCAAGGTTAGTGTGAATCATACTCTCACTGTTAGTTTGCTAAGTTTTAAAATTACATTCCTCTGCATGATAAGATGCCCTATAGTTAATTGCTGAAATATTATCAACACTTTCCCTTTTTTATCAAAGAATGCTCATAATAAGAATCCTTACCTAAGCTAGGAGTATGGCTTTAACTTATACAGACTAAAATGTTAGCATTTGTTTGTAATGGTTTTCCATGCTGGATGCCTGCCTGTCCCATTCTGATTTTTTTGTCCAGAGTGAAATAGTTTTGGTACCATCAAGAACATTAGAACATGTCTTTTTTCAGTTATAACATGTTTTAGAGTTAAGACTATTTGATTATAGGAGGAGCTAGTAGCAACATCCGCAGTTTCAGGATGCCTTGTACTTCCTATAAGACTACGTCTTCTCTAGGTTCTAACATAGCCAAACTTGAGCTGTTCGTACTGGTTTGCCATACTGGATGACTGCCTGATTGCCTCAGGCTAATTTTTTTTCTTAATATTTGTGGAGGTCCAGTTGAACTGTTTCTCAGGAAGTGTTTCAGCAAAATGTGAGGTGTTTTGTTTGTATATAAAAATAAATATAAATACAATATTTTTTTCTCTGAAGCTTTAGCCTCTATGCCTGGGGCATGGCTTGGAATTTGGCAGGGAGATGTGACTTTGGTGTTAGGATTTTTTTTCCACAGGCAACACTGACCACAACCCCAGACTTGAAAAATCACAGCATATGCTCAGTAGAAGCTTGATAGTAGCTGGCAGCTAAATTCTAAGAATATTCCATCTCTATTGAACATGTTGGACAAGACTTTTCCTATAGTTGCCACAGGCTGCTATGGCACTGAAAATGAAAGCAGGAGAGTCTCTGCTCTTAGTGTTCTCTGTGCTGGTGTAGTGAAAGTGGAAGTGGCCTGACTGGAAAGAGAAGAAAACCAGGGGTGGGGAAAACTTCAGCATAGGGGGTAGATTGGGACAAGGAGTCTGCAAAGATAGCGGAGAATTCTGAGATCAGATGAGGAACCAGAGTGACTAGTGTCTTGAAGACTAGAACTGGCTGGGAAAGAACCAGGAATGGGATTTGTTATAGGGGAAACCAGGACTCAGATAAGGGGCGTGTTGCTGGCTAGAGAAGAACTGGGGAGGAGGGAAAACTGGAATGAAAAGTTGAATGGGGGTGTTGTAGAAAGTGGGAGGTATATAATGAGTGAGATGGACAAGTGCAGAAAGAGAGAGGATGGCCTTGTGATTAAGGAAGGCTGTCTTAGAAAATTGGATTCTATGCCTACTTCTGTCCCAAAGCTCTGGACAAGTCACTTTACACCAATGTCTACTAATTTTGTGTTTGTCCAGGTGTACAACCTGAGACATTGGGGTCTCTATTTATAGAAGTGCAGAGTGTTCACAATTGCATGTGAAGTTGTTGTTAGCTGTGGTTTAAATGTGCACTATCTAATGCTATGTACTCTTGAAAATCCAGTACATGATCAGCTTTAATTTGTTTTCACATAATGGTAGCTCTGCTTTTTTAATGTTACCTGATTGGAATTGGGTATTACCCTTCCTGCTGTATGCATGTATTTCTAGAAAGAAAAGTTTTAAAACCAACTGTAGTTGTAGGAGACTGCTAATTGAGACTTCGGGCCTAATAAGCTAACTGTAGTTAAACTTCAGTCTCTTGTGCTGTTTTATCTGTCTATAAGAGCCTAAGGGATGAATTTTAGAGATTTTATGGGGTTAACAGCACCTCTATATCACAGCTTGCCTACTTACCTTTAATGTGACAGGAACAAAAAAAAAAAAGTGTCCATCCCTGCCTCTGAGAATAGCAGTCAAGGTCCAAATAACGTACATTTCTCCCAATCACTGGGTGTCTTGCAGATCCTCCAGACATTACAGAACTGGTACCTTTTTCAGGATATACCTTTTCTCCCCATTTATGAGAGTCAGTTGTGGTGGAGGAGGGCAGGCATCACTATTAAACTCCTAGGCAAACTGGAAATTGAGTAAAGGAAGTCTAGTACAGGGTTGTTGAACTTCTGGACAATGAGAGACTGCATGCCCCACAAGCCTCAGATATCCAGGCCACACATCCAGCAGCTATCCCCCTCCTCAGGTTATTCCCCCACCAGCCCCACAAGCAGCCCAGGTTCCTTTCAACTGCGTGGGTGGTTCTAGTGGCCCACCACATGCCCAGTGCAAGCAGTGTGGCTCCCCTGTACTGCACAAGCAGTGCCCACCTCCCTTTTGGCTGCACACACAACGTGGGCAAACCAGTTCCCCTCTTTTGCCATGTGGGCGACTTCCATTTTTGTCTGCTCTGGGTACAGTGCCTTCTTGCTGCCCTGGCCTACCCTGTCCCCAGAAGCAGGGGCAGGAAGCTGGAGGTTGGGAGGAGAGCCTGGAGATCCCAGCTGTCACTGCAGCAGCAAGAGTGATGAGAGGGAGCAGCAACTGGGTAGTCACCCAGGAACTGCATTTTTCCCCTTGGGGGCCAGATTTACCCTGCTGGCTATGATTTGGACAGCCCTGGTCTAATATGTATAATGTTTAAAGCAGGGGTTCCCAGACTGGTACGCATACCTCTGGGAGCACACAAGGCCTCTCTGGGGGGTACACAGGAGAAATTGTGTAATGGTGGATTTAATTTTCATTATAATATTGACATTTAAAGGGTTATAATATGTGGGTAGGGGTACGCAGGGAGCTGATAAATCTGGAAGGGGATACGCAATAAGAAAAAAATTGGGAACCTCCGGCATACAGGATATACGAGGAAAAATGACATTAAAAAAAATCTTCAAAAAATGGTGGCGTAGAGGTATCCCCCGGCCAAAATTAAAAAAGAAGAAAACTTATAGATTCATGGAGTCAGAAGGGACCTCAGTGGGCCATCTAATCCGACCCCCTGCCCCGGCAGGCAAGAAAAGAGTCACCAACCCTAGGGTCGTGTGATCCCAGCCAGGTGACTGTCCAGTCTCCTCTTGAAGGCGAGCACCACCTTCCTTGGAAGCCTGTTCCAGACTCTGACAACCCTGACCGTGAAGAACTTTTTCCTAATGTCTAGCCTAAACCTCCTCTCCAGTAGCTTATGGCCATTGTTCCTTGTCATTCCAGGGGGTGCCCTGGTGAACAGATCGCCACCTACTTCATGTTGCTCGCCCCTTATAAATTTGTATGCTGCCACAAGGTCCCTTCTCTTGGAGAGTCTGAAGAGGTTAAAGTCCCTTAGCTTTTCCTCATAGGGCCTTCCCTGCAGGCCTCTAATCAGGCGAGTGGCCCTTCTTTGGACCCTCTCCAGGTTTCCCGCATCCCGCTTGAACTGCGGCGTCCAGAACTGGACACAGTACTCCAGCTGCAGTCTGACCAGTGCCACATGGAGGGGGAGAATCACTTCCCTGGCCTGTTTGTGAAGCACCTACAGATGCATGACAAGGTGCGATTGGCTCTGCTAACTGGTTCATCACGTTGGCGACTCATGTTCATCCTGGAGTCAACAGTCAACTTACTAGTGATTGAAATTTTACTTGCTAGTAATTTTTGAAAATTAAGGCTCTGCATGTGTGTTTAATTCTTACATACATAAATAACCTGTAAGCCTTGGACATATTCATTTGTAGCACTACAAAATAGATGCTGGTGAAAGGGACTGTGCTTGATAGCCATGGCTGCCACTACACAAATCAGATATTTGGCAGAGCAAAACAGCAGCTTACCAAGGACTGTCAAGGAGCCAGCTCTCCCTCATGCACCATTATAGATGTCACAGATCTGCCAGACTGGTGGCAGATGTGCTGTGCTTTTTGATGCTACAGGTGGCCTGAATGTATGCACATTTCTTTTGATAGCTCTACAAGCATAAGTAGCACTAGAAAAGAGTTGTTGTCTTTGCTCCTGGAGTTTTAACGTACACTGTTCCTTTCTACTTAGTTTGCATGATGTTTGTTGAATTTTGAGTTTCTGAGGCATGGGAGATGGGGTATGGTATAGCAGGGCTCCTGTCCTGCCTGTGTGCTCTGGATGCTATAAATGGTAAATCAACTAAAACCCATGCTTGAAGTGTTTGGGAACTTCTTGTTTTGTAGGTCAGGGTATTGATGAACCCCTTTCTGCGACTGGTTTCAGACAAGCAGATGCTGCTGGTATGTTTCTCAGTAACATGAAGTTCACTCATGTCTTCTCAAGTGATCTTCTTCGGGCAAAGCAGGCAAGTACTTTTTGAGGCATTTGAAAGCAAATGTGAATGTCACTATTTGGTAGTTTATTTAAGCGATTTTTTTTTTTTGCTGGGGTGGAGGCAGCATGAAATAATACAACAATTGTGAAGGAGACAGTAAGCTTAGAATTAAGTGGTGGGGTAGATATAGATCTTGGGCTCTTCTCCAAAGAGCACAAAACTTGACTATTTCTGAGTTAACTCTTGTTGACTGTGAGTTGTGTCTTTAATGCACATTGTACAGTGTTGTCCTATCAACTGCCTGCCACTTTTTTTTTAATTGTATATACCTGTGGGTTGGTGTTGCATTAACTCATCTTGGCAGTAACTCATCCTGGTAGCTCAGAAGTCTGGCACAATGTCTAATGGTGATTTTGTAACACTTCTAAGATCTGACTTTTATTTTAGCTTTAAACCTACCCTTTAAACATCAGAATCTGTGATTATCATCTCTTGCTTAATCCTGATTCTTCCACTTCACTAAATATGGTTAAAAGGATATTCAGTGGTTAACATTACCTAGATAATATGAAGTTATTAAGAGTGTAGGACCCAACAAAGTTCACCCTGTTATAATTTAGCAAAGGATCCAGCAGAGAGGGATTGCTGCTGATTGCCATTTAGAACCTATAGGATATACGCTGAATTCCTGAATGACTAGAAAAGGGCTAATGTGCATTAGAGTATATTAAAAGAGAAAGGGGGGATGTGGGGTAGGACTGCATAAATCTACCAATCTTAACTTTAATGCTTAGTTATTTAACAAGGCAATATTTGATCATTTGTAAGAAATTGAAATGCAAATTTGAGGGCAACATAGGATAAGCAAACATGCACAATGTTAAAGCAATTTACCAGTAACTTCCTTCTTTGGCAATGAATACAGGAAATAGACTATAAGATTGCTTTGTTTTACCTTGTGTTATATGGTTACGTGTTAGATTCTCCTAGGGATTTTAGATAAACATGAACTAGATGAAACTTGTCATAAGCTAGATATCTAATTGGCAAACACTCGTAAAGAATGCCCTTGGTTGACAGAACTGACCATGGTGCTAGAGAGATGAGTTCTTGGTCCAGTGCTAAGATTTTTCACAGGATCATAGTTTTGTAATTAATTGTTTCAGAGTAAACTTTAACAGAAGTAAAACAAATTCTTCCTGGACTTGCTTATATATCTACCCACAAGACCAGAGTTGGAAATATAACTGGACAAGGGTAGAAACCACATGAGCAGTATTATGTATGCCAGTTGTTTGGAGATCAGACAACCCCAGTTTAGCCCTGTTGGTTTTAGTGCCAAGGAACATAGTAATGCTTTTAGTCTACAGATCAAGGACAGAGTTAGTCAAGACTAGGTTATACCATCCTTAGGTTTATTGACTAGCAGTTAACACTTGGACTACTGCTATGTTCAGTCTGGGTGGCAGGATTATTACTTGTATGAATTAGGGGCAAAGAAAAGTTGTGCTCATGTCTTAAGAGCATACCCAAAGTATCATTCAGCATAAGAATTTGTTTAAAATAGTTGGGCTTGATTTGCAAGCCTTTTGTGTGTGGCACTCAGTGAAGTCACCTTTTACCCATCTTCCCTCTGCCTTGGAAAGTGTTTAAAAAAGGAAGCATATGTGTACGTAGCAGGGGAGGGTCAGATATGCAGAGGAATGGCACATTGCATTCCACATACATCATAACCTGTATATTTATATTTCTTACAGACTTTAGAAAGAAAGATCAAGTCTCATTTTAAAAAAATATTTCAGTCTCTTAATTGAAATTCCAAATACTCTTCTAACAATTATATATTCAACCCTTCTGCAGAATATTCGTTATAAATCACACTTGGCCTAATATCAACTCTTTCTGTAAAATACTGTTTACTTGAATAATAGCTGTGATTTTGTTTTCCTGAAATTTTGTTTCCAAGAGAGCAGGTGCCCCCATTACATGCACCCTAGATAAAGACTGAGGAAGTGCCACGACTAAACAAAACCTGTAATTTTGTGTTCAAACATTTGTCTCCATGTCTTCATCTGTACTATTTTGTAGACAAGACTTAACGCAAAGTGAAACTGCTACACCTTGTGTTATGGGTTTCTTTGGAAATTGGATGTGATCATTACACAAATACCTGTTTTTCAAAATTTTGAGATAGTAATCAAGGGTGCAGCTGTCATATGTGTGTAAATACAAAATACTCTGGTGTTTATTGTAATGATTGTTTTGATTGGCAAACGTAGCCATTTGAACTGCTTTTTTTCCCTCACCAGATGACTGTCACAAGCTGACTTTTTTTGTTTTTTGAAAAGTTCATCCATTTCAGAATGGAAATGGGGAAATGTAAAGGTTTTCAGGTTTTTTTGTTTTGTTTTGTTTTTGCTAAACCAAACAAACCTCCGAGAAGGTCTGGCACTTCCATGTTTTAGAACAGGGTCTTGAAATTTGGCAGTGAGGCGTTTTTACTAGAGGGAAATGCCTGTTGGCGTTCTTTTTTGTAAATAAACCCAAATTTGGCCAAGTTTAAAAACCTTTGAAAAGCTGCAGTTAGCATGTGCCAGAATCTCTCTAAAATATCCTTCTTGAGCGTGCTCCATCCCCTTGCTGTTCCTAAGGTATGAGGAATGCAAGTTCCCTTTCCTCAGAAAAAAACTGAGTGGTCTCCCACCGAAGGCTTCAGTGGCAAAATTAAGCTTTTCCTGTATTGGCTTCTCCTACCTGCTGCCATCCAGGGTATTTCGGGCCACTGCAGTTGAGATCAGGGGACTTGTCTTTCCTGTGTGTCCACAAACTCTCAATCATTCACTACTGGCACCCAGGCAGTGTTGAAGAAGCTATCTGATTTGAATACAGAAGGGGTAAGTGAGACTAGGGAGGAAGAAAGGAGTAGGTGGATACTGGGGAGAGAAATTTCCTGTCTGGACAAATGTATACCATGGGAACGGTTGGACTGAGTCAGTGGAGGCAGAAAGAAATAGTATTAAGGTACTGGGCAGGGTGAAACTGGGGGACTGCTGACTGGGTGAGACACACTGCAACTTCCTGAAACTGGAGGCTGACAATAGGAATCTAGGAAGCAGGAGAAAGGAGACAGATAAGGAACTGGGCAAGGAACTTGTTATGGGATATTGCGGGCAGAAGGAGAAAGTGGGAGTTAGACAGCAAGCTTGGAAGGGGAAGAGACTGAGAGTGGGTGGACAAGAGGATGGGATTTGGAAAAGGAGCCAGGTAAAGGAAGACAGGTTCTGTATTGGGATAAATTACAGAGGGTGGTACATGTGGGAATAACTGTCATAGGGAATGGGCAGAGGTATGCAGGTCCACTAGAGCCCTCTTATCCTGAGCCTGGAATAAAATCTAAGATTTCTGAGTCTCACCATCCCATTGCTGTCAACAACATATTCCTCTAGTGTTGCTCCATAAATAAAATGGCATCCTGTTACTGCCATTTGTAAATTGGTTAGCTCACAAGGCAGAGATTTGTGTGGTTGATCTAAAGGGCCCACCCCTGTTGGAGAAGGATGTGTATGACAATATGATGACATGCAGTGGAATTTGGGTTTTTGTTTGCTTTTTAAAGCCTACAAAATTGCGTGCAACCCCCTCCTCCACACCCCCCCAAAAGAAACCCCAACACGAAATAACCCCATGTATTTAAACAATCTAAGATTAGAGCCAAAAGATCAAAACATACAAAATGCTATCATGAATTCCATGATCACGTCTTTTTTTTTCCCCTTAAGACCCTTGGCTCTTTCTCTTAAGTTTAGATAAACCTGGTCTGGGTTTGCATCAGAGCAATGTAGTGAAGGAGCATTTTGTCATTAGGAGCTTCTGCTTCATTTATTGCAGAAGCTGAAAACATATGTTATGTGAAGCAAGAGTTCATAAGAAAAAATAAGGTGTCCTCAAGCACTAGATTCTCTTCTGTCTCTGCCACAGATGTCCTGTATGATGCTTAGGAAATCAGCAAATCACCTGAAAGAAACATCCATATCTTGTTAATAAAAATGTAAAGAAATAATCAAAGGAGAGTAAGTTAATGATGACCTGAATTTGTTGTGGAACAGCTGGTGCATGCTCACAGTTAAGCCATGTAGGTGAAAACTGAACCAGGCAGCTCACCCCTGTTTCATTAAGGTGTAAAGTGTCCTAGTTCCATTTTCACTCAGTGGGTACATCTACATGTGCGCTTTACTGTGGAATAGACTAATTAACTCCACAGTAAAGCATCACAGTCTACATGTGCTGGTATTAGGGCAAAGTAGATTAATTAATTCTGTTGTACTATCTTATGGCAGAGTACTTGCGTGTGTTCAAACGCATGTATAGACTGTGGCAGGGCACATGGGTGCTAAAGTGTGAGGGCTGCCTGCCAGCTAGGTCTGCACTGTAGCACCCGTGTGCCTCAGCCAGACTCTCTGCCACCCAGAGCCTGGGGATGACCACCCCCCCGGGCTCCCTGCCAGCCCAGGACTGCTTCGCCCTGGCTCAGTGTCCTGCAGTCCTGGACACGTGTAAACACTGTGCCTGGAAGCAACTGACTACAGTGTGAACTGCACCAGAATTTATTGCATGGCTCTAATTGCTCATGTAGATGCACCCAGTGTGAGGTAATTGTGGCTGCAAAAACAGTAACTATGTATCATCAGCTGTAATTGCTTGCCACTGTTAACTTAGTTTAATTTGAGCATGAGGAAAGCATGTGTAGCCCTGGCGCACACTACTGCAAAAAGGATGCAGTCTTGTGTGCTTGGGTTGCATGTGCACCAGCAGTGAGATTCATAGACGTGCTCTTTGCGATGTTCTGTTTATTGTAGGGCGAGTAGCTGTTGTTTTATACCACTGTATGTTTGCTTTCCAGACTGCAGCTGCAATTACAGGAAAGAATAAGTTTTGCAAAGATATTTTAATAAAGTATGATGCAAGGCTTCGAGAGCGGGTAAGTACAGAAACAGGAGTTCTTGTTTTTAAATTGAACACTTTGAAAAAGTATCTGGCCACTTAAACAGAAAGATTGGGCACTCCTTTCTGAATGCTTAGGTAGGCTTCTTACGCCACTTCTATAATTATCGAGGACCAAATTCTGTCCTTGAATGTACAAGGAATTCTATTTGTTCCAGTGCTTTCTGGTTTCATGCGAAGAGAATTTGATTGGACCTGTATTTCATTATCACCTGGTATATGGACTGATGCAGAAACTATCACCTTGCTGTAGGATAGCCTGTGTACCCAGTTAACCTTTCTAGTCTGCCCAAGTACATAATTTTGCCTCCTGTATGAGCAAAACAGTGTATTGAATTAAAGAAACTGAATCCCAGGTTATGGTTGTTACTGTGTTAACAGGAAGTGCCCTCAAGTTGCTATCCTGACACATTCAGCTTAATTTTAAATGAGGAAATAAATACAACAAAAACTAAAAAGGATGGCAGACTGCTAGTAGGTAAACAATTTGTTTAAAAAAAATTGTGCCACTTCCTCATTCTTTTCCCTCCCTCATTCTTTGATTGTTCTCGTCATCTTTTTTCCATAGGAATCAGCAACACTTGTCTCCTAAATGACTGGAATGTAATTTTGTCTTAAAAGTTAAGTGGCATAGGCAGAGTTCTGCATATGTTACTTTGTTGGTTCTTCTAGTAAAAAGCCCTTCAGAAGGGAAGGAATGAGAGGAAGGAGGGAAATGAAGCAGTGGATTTTTTTTTTTTAATTTAGTCTATAAGAATTGACTTTCATCAGCTGTAGAGTCTTGATTCCTTTTGGGGAATTTACCTTAACACTTTTGAGCTTTTCTACTTCAGCATTTTACTTTCTTCAGCTGCAGTGCCTTTGTTAGCAAACAATTTCATTTCTGATTACAGGAATAAATTAGTTGTTATGGTGGCTAATGGCTTGGATTTCCATATTTGTAATTTACATATTGAGAAATAACTGAGCAGTGATTATGTAAACTGGCAAGCAGGGATTTGTGTAAGAGAGGTCTAGCTATGTATTTTTCTAATTGTAAAGCATCTCTGTTCATTTTTTTTCTAAACATGAAGCAGACCTGCAGCATTTTAATTTTCCATGCTAATAAAAGAGTAAACCTATACTTCACTTAAATAAATTTGTATTTATTTATTGTCAATAACATGGGATAGGGTGTTAATGCCTCCAGAGTGAAGTATTCTTGATCTAAGTACAAAAAAGTTCATAAATTAGCAAGGTGCTATGTATCCGTGCAGTATATAGGATGTGCATTACAGTGTACATGCCTGTACATGTAAAGTGCACTAGAAATCCTACAGATTGCTTTAAAATATGCATTTTGGTTCCCCATAATTAAATTGAGGGGAACCTACTTAAGCTTCAGTCTATTTTTGCCACAAGACTTTGATTTGGGACTTATCTCAGGCACTTCACTGAAAATGTTACATGTTCTCCAATCCAATAAAAACAAAAAATGCGTATTTCTTTAAGTATTTTTAACTTAGATCTTTTTCTAGTTAAAAAAAAAAAAGTATTTGTCAGCCACTCTGAAATAGTTTTGCATGGGTTATTTTCTTGGGAAATCTAGAAGTTATTTTCAACAGTTAGTGCTCCCATTATAATAATAATTATAATAAGTAGTTTTCCAAGTGGATCTATTTTGTGAATTTTGTAACTAATTTTCAAATGACTGAGAGGATAATTGTGCAGAATTCAGTTTTTTAAATAATTCCCTGTATAAATGTATCAAATTTTAGCTCTTTCAGTATATCTTAGTTGAGTGGGGAAGGGAAAGGGAGAAAGTATACTAAATGAAGGACTAAGATTTAGACTTTAAAGACCTAGAGTAAGAATACTAGCTTAAACCTACTTTCCTGGGTCAAAAGGGAAATGGAGGAACTGAATTTTTAAGTGAAGTTGAAGCTTGAAGTTGTATTTATTTTTCCTTCCCTTAATATTCAACTAAACAATTTTCTGTAAATGGTCTTTTGCAGAAATATGGTGTTGCAGAAGGCAAGCCTCTGAGTGACCTAAAGGCAATGGCGAAAGCTGCTAGACAGCAGTGTCCTTCATTCACACCCTCTGGGGGAGAAACATTAGATGAAGTACGGTATACTGTTTGTTTCTTCAGTCCATCTTCCATGTCTTCTTTTTACTTGTGCAGGCACATCTATTTCCTAATTTTACAAATGCTGTTTTGCTTCAAGCTTAGTCCAGTCAAAGCTAGCATTTGTCAGTTCCATACTGTTCTTTCCCTCTGGACATTAAAGACCATCCTTTATTTTACTCCTTTTTGTCTTGATATGCTGCTTCAAGAAATAGTGCTGCCTCTGTTTTGGAGTGGGATTAATCACACTTGATTGGCAGAAGCTGAATTTGCAAAGCATCATGTGTTCAACAGTCAGCACATGCTGTGAGATCAAATCTGACTTTGGTTTGGCTTATTTAAAATATTAATCTTGGGTTGTGTTTCTTATGAATTTGTTTCCTTTTTACAAGATTAATAGGAATTGCTTTCACAGCTCTCCTTGGGTTTGAGAGGCAAAAACTCTCTCTAACAATAGTCTCTACATTCAGCACTTTAATGTGCTACAGAAACAGTTACCTGGAGACTTATGTACTATGCGTATGTGTTATTAGCATAGGCAGCGGAAGGCCAGGGCTAAAGACACTTAGCCCCACCAAATGCAGAGCAGCGGATAGAGCCACAGGGCAGCTTGGCCGTGGGCTCTGGGCTGCTGCAGTGGGGGGAAGGGGCATGCACACACAGACATGCAGCCAGGATTGCAGCCCTGGCATGTGGATTACTGCCCAGCATGGCAGCCAGGCAAGTTGCAGCATACTCTGAAGGGGAAGGGGCTTGGGGAGGGGTGGGGAGAGATCGAGGCCCCCACATTGCAGGAGAGAGTGGGACAAAGGCAGGGACTGAGGTGAATGGGGCCCCAGGCCAGGTCATGGAACGCTTGGAACCCGGGCGGCTCATCCAGAGGCGGGAGGGGTGCTCTCACCACTGCGTGTACCCCGGAGGAGGCATGGGGAACACGTGCCCCCGGGATCTGTGCACAGGGCAAAAGCAGGCTGCGCTCTGCATCCCGCTGCCTCAAGAGCCAAGTATGCCACTGCACTCTGCACCCCACGTGCAGCAGGCACATGGCATGGTACCGCTTCCAGTCAGCAGGGCACAAAGTGCAGCCCTCCTCCATCCTGCGCACAGATCCAGGGGGCACGTGCCCCCCATACCGCCCCCAGGGTGTGCACAGCTGCGGGAGACCCCCTGCCTGGGGATGAGCTGCCCGGGCTTCGAGTGTCCCACAGCCTGACCCTGTCCTGGGACCCCATTCACCTCAGCTCCTGCCCCTGCCTCTGCCCAGCTCCCTCCCTCACTGCAGGGGCCTTCATCTGCCCCACGACCCTTCCCCATGATAGATTTTCCGGGGGGGGGCAGGTATGCACACACTCACGCTCAGTGTGCCCCCCCCAATATATTCGCCCTCTGGCTAGGTTTATTAGGAATACAGCTGCTTCAGATTTCTGTTCTTCAGTCTAAGATGCATGTGTAAACTTTTTTTTTTACATAAAACTTTGATGTTAAAAGTTACTCGGGTCACTGGACTTGAGTGCTTTAGCAGTCTTCACACATGTATTCGTTTTTCCTAATGTCTCTTCTTAGGTGAGAGCACGTGCAAAAGATTTTTTTGAATTTCTGTGCCAACTCACTCTTGAAGAAAGTCAGAAGGAAGTTGTCCTGGATACAGCAGGCAATGGCTTGGAAACATTAGAAGAAAAATCAGTTTTCCCTTGGACAAACCATTACAATGGACCTGAATTTAACTCTGATAATGACAAAGCTACTAAAATGTTAGATGTCAATATACTGGTAGTGAGTCATGGGGCATACATGAGAAACTGGATTCATTATTTTGTTTCAGAGCTTGAGTGCACTTTACCAACAACTTTAACAAAGTCGCAGCTGTCTTCTGTGAGTCCTAATACTGGAGTCAGCCACTTCATCATAAAACTTGGAAATGGAAATATTAAACCTGAAATCAGTTGTGTTTGTCTTAATCAAGATGTACATCTAGTAAATGTGGATAGTGGAAATGTGTAGCTCAAACATGTCAGCAATATTCAGTGTGTTATATAGCATTTTAATGTTTTAAATTAATTAAATTTAAATTGATTTAAAGCAGTCTTTAAAACACAGGTGGATTTTAATCAACTTCATATTGTACTTGATAAACTGGCCTTATTAGTTAATTGTGTTGACTTGAATTATGTTACCGGCACTGTATTATGAGTCTAAAGAACTACAGTTATCTGCTGTCTTCATAATATATACAATATATGTTGCTGTAGTGGCTGATAATAAAAGCCAGCATGTAAAAATAGCAATCACTCTTTATGAGCATAAATTTGATGACATTACTGTTCAGATGCTTAGATAGTTATTTTTACAGTGCATAGTTTTCAGTATCTTCTTACCATAAAAGGGTTGCAGATATTGTCAGTTACTTAAAAATATACTGTCAAAAATTATTTATTTTCTCTTTCAACGGCTTCATCAAAAAACTTGGAAATGGAAATATAAACTTCAAATCAACAGTGTGTGTCTGAATCAAGATGCATATCTAATAGATGAGAGTAGTAAAAAGTGTAGCTCAAATGTCAGCAATATTAAATGTATTACATAGCATTTTTAATGGTTTACATTATTGAAATATTAAATGTAATATGTTCTGTAGGTAATTGTTTTAAATTTGCATCAACCTCTTGTTTTAATGACTTGGTATAAGAAAAGGGATTAGCTGGTGGGCAGAGCATGCTCGGGGCTGCTTTCCTGGTTCTGCCACTAACTAGACCCTCAGCCAGGTCTTTTTTCCATCTGTAAAATAGAGGGATGATACATACCTACCTCAGAGGGTTGCTGTGGGGAATGAGGTTAGTAAAGCATTCTTGATCTGATGCTAATAACATTGAACAAAGTATTTATTTATAACGGTAAGCAGAGGAACACTTAAATTGCATGTAGCCAAAATTTAAAGCCTTTTTCCTGATAAGACATCTGTCAGTGGGAATGTTAGGATTGCATTACTTTGCAGAGTTCAGGAAATGTAGTTGCTCAAATGTTGCTCATATTTTCTAGCTATATAATATATTCCTGCATCACTGCAGTCTTTGTATTATTTGTGTATATGTTCAGATATGACTTCTGTTATTTATGGTCTCCATATGTTGAAGTAACTCTCATTTGCGTATTCTAAGTCCAAATAAAATTATTAAAGTTTCATGCATAGCAAATGTCATTAGTTCTATTTTTTCCACAGAGTATGAAAAGTTTAGGGATTGTCTACACATTGCCCTCCAGTAACATTGTTACTGTGTCATGCTTTAGTACAGCCTTTTGGACACGATAGAGACAGCTCCTGCCACTGCCCATGCTAGCGGGGTGGATCAGGCTGCACTGTGCCCTGAGGGGCTGTGCTGCAATGGGCATGGCCCAGCTGACTGCTGCTGCCAGCGGTGTGGCCTGTGCACCACGGGGTGGTGGGGGTAGGCGTGTGGCAGTCCCCCCCCCCCCCCCCCAAAAAAAAAAACAAAAAAAAACCCAAAAAAAAAAACCCAACAAACTCCACACAGCCCACACCACACCCCACATCTCTCATTCTGCATGCCCAGCTGCCAGACAGAATGAGACCTGCTGGCAGGAGCTGTGACTGCAGGGGCAGCTGTCTCCACATCCTGGTTAGCAAAGGGGTCAGGGGGAGCTCTGATTTTTTCTATGATGAAAAAAACCAAAAGCAAATACCAAAACATAAAGGTATTTAGCATTTATTTTAATATGATGATAGAGGCACTAGTAGGCTTTCAAATTGCTTTAAAATTGTACATACATCAATAAACCATTGCCCAACTGATCTCTCTCTCTCTCGATTAGTGGTGTTTCATTTTAACACTGAAAGAACACAATTTTGGGGGCATTTTAAAGAATGAATTTGGGATTTTTTAAAATCACACACGCATTCACAGAAGTTTAGGGCTGGAAGGGATCTCGTGAGATCATTGGGTCCAGCCCCCCTGCACAGAGAATTTGCTATTTTTAAAGAGGGAACACCAGGATTCCTGCTAGTGAGGCAAGTGACAGGATCCAGGCAAAGGAGCCTGCCCAGAGCTGGTACTGGGGACCCAGTTGGAGGGCAAACAAGATGGCTGACCTTCTGGCCATTTGGGGCCAGGAGGACAGGATTTGACAGTTCAAAGCAGGCTACCACACTGAGAACATCTTCCAGGCAATAGCTACCCAGATAGCAGACTGGGGGCACACATGGTAGCAATGTCACACGAAGGCCAATAGCACAGCCACTGGCAGCTGGCCCAGAGGTGCAGATGGTTCTGCCACAGTGCCCATACATACCACAGCCCAGGCGACCATGCAGTCCCCATCCAGGTCTGGCAGGCATGCAGACATAGGACTGCAGGTCCAAGAGATGGATATCGTTGCAGGTGGCAGCAGGACACAGCTAGGCAGCAGCCTCCGCTGCCAGACTGCTGCATTGGGTAAAGGGTGCAGAGGCCACTCTAGGTCAGAGCTGCTGCGGCAGTCAAGCTGGCATGGGGGGGCTAGTATCCCCATATGTCAAATGGCCAAGCCTCAGAAGCTCCTGTCTATTTGTAACATTCAAATAGCGTGGGCTGTAAGTAGCCCCTATTATATGGGGGCTAATGGGCGAATGCTACAACAAAATACTTGGAATAACATAGGCAAAAAACAGGACAGGAGTGACATGAGGGTCAAAACCTAAAAATGAGTGTGCCTGAGGTGGAAACCAAGCAGAGCCCCGTGGGCCGCACCCACCGGTCCTCAAAGGCATCCAAGGAGTCGGTGGATGCCACCCACTGGTGCTCTGCCCGGAAACGTGCGTGGACAAGTGAGAGGAAAGCAGCCTTGCAGTCTCCGGGCACCTTCCCAGCCAGAGCCTCCTTCCTGGTCATGTACAGGGCCCACTTGGCCAGGGCCAGGAGGAGGTTGACCAGGAGGTCCCAGGCTTCCCTGGCTGGGGTGACCAAAAACAAAAAGGTGGGGGGGTGAAATTCAACTAGAACCTCAGGAGGAGGTTGTGGAGGGGCTGCAGCCTGGTGCACACGAGGGTCATGTGTGCTAGGGGCTCCCTCTGTCTGCAGAAGGGGCAGGAGATCAGGGTGTTAGTGAAGCTCACCACATACATGCCCGTGGCAATGGCTCCTAGGAGGAGCCGCCAGCTGAGGTCCCCAGTGGCTCATGGGAGGAGGATGGAGTACAGACTCAGCCACTGGGGTGCCCCAGCCATGCCCTCACTAAGCAGGTCCCACCACTTGGTGTTTGGGCAGGACGCAAGCGCGGCATGATGGATCCATGCCGCCCATGACCGTGTAGAGGTGGCGGTGGTGGATTGTGGAAAAAAGCAGACCAGTTGTGTCCTCCAGCTGGCTCAGGTGGTGGGGCAGGAAGCACCACAAAGCCGGGTGAGTCGCCAGCCCCACAACAAACTCCAGTGGGCTGGAGGACCCAAGGGGTTGGGGGGCAGGGACCACCACCACACAGAACCTGGTTGACAAAGGCAAGGGTAAGAGCATCAGGAAGTAGGGCAGATTTCACCTCCTGGACCAGACACCCAGGTTGCACGTGTCTTGACTAGACCCATGCGCCAGGCCAGTGCAGAGGGGTCCACCCAGTCCTGCCTATCGTAGTCCAGGAGGTCTCCGATACAGGTGACAACAGCCAGGATCAACCTCTGTCACAAGCGGGGAGCCTCTGCCGTCAGCACCTCCAGCTGGGGGTTCCAGAGGAGGGGCTTGATGAGCAGGTTGGCACCCTGGGCGACTGTTGCGAGGGACCTGGAGGCGGTCCTAGTAGAAATCTGGCAGCCCTCACAGGTCCTGCAGGGAGAAGCCCCACAGGCTGAGCAGCTGCCAGGCATATCAGAGCCCCCAGAACTGGCAGAGGAAAGCGCACCCCAGGTGGCCCCATGCCGCGTGGCTACCGACACCATACAGCAGTCGTTGCAGGGCCTGAAGGTGGAACATCAGGACCTGGCTGTGGAGGCAACCCAGACTCTGGATGCCCACCCACAGGGGGAGGCTCAGGACCTCTGCAGCAACCTAGTGCTGTCCTGGCCAGAAATACTCTAGCGCCCATCTCTGGAACCCTGCCAGAACCTCAGGGGGCACAGGCAGGGTGTGTAAGTGGTGCCAGAGCATGGACAGGACCTGCTGGTTCAGCACCAGCACTCTCCCACGCAGGGAGACACCTCAGGAGCTCTACCCAGGCTCAGAGCCCTCCACCACCCTTACCTCCAGCTGGTGCCAGTACTCTAGCAGGGAGGGGCCTGTGGGGGACAGGTAAACCCCAAAATAGAGCAGTGAACCCACACTCCACACTGCTTTCGGGAGGGGGGATTGCTGGGGCGGGATGGGCTTCATCTCTCCCCTAATGGCAAGCGTGTCTTCTCTTCCAGGTTGGCTGATCTCGTACGGCGAGCTTTAAACTAGACTCGCCGGGGGAGGGGGCTGCAGGAAGACGAGGAGACGCCATCAGGGCAAGGGGTGCAAAGGTAAGTAATGGGGGTCTTGCCATCAGGGCAAGGGGTGCAAAGGTAAGTAACAGGGGTCCTGATGGTTGGCTAAGCAGGGGGTGGGGGGGCACACAGTCTTGCAAGGCCTTAAATGCCTGTACACCAATGCTCGTAGCATGGGGAACAAACAGGAGGAACTCGCCCTCAGAATAGCTAGTTCAAATCCAGATGTCGTAGGGTTAACAGAGACATGGTGGGACTCATCCCATGACTGGGCAGTTAACATTAGGGGCTATAGGCTGGACAGGCGGGATAGAGAAGGCAGAAAAGGGGGGGGGGGTGGCACTTTATGTCAAGGAGCACTACACATCCTCTGCCAGCAGTATGGGGTCAGGGGAAGGGCGAGCTGAAGTGCTCTGGGTCAAGATCCAGGGGGGGCAAGGCGAGAGGGATTTGACGGTGGGGGTCTATTACAGACCCCCCAATCAGGAGGAGGAGCTGGACAGGGAATTTTCAGGCCAGCTTGCGGAGACACTAAAAGCAAGGGATGTAGTTGTCATGGGCGATTTTAATTACCCGGACATCTGCTGGGAGGAGCAGTCAGCCGGGACGGACCGCTCCAGGAAGTTCTTGGCCGAGTTGCAGGACCTCCACTTGATTCAGGAGGTGCACAGTCCCACCAGAGGAGATGCCCTGCTGGACCTGGTCCTGGCCGCAGGCGACGACCTGGTAAGAGGCCTCCAGGTTCTTGACCACCTGGGCAATAGTGATCATCGCATGCTGGAATTCACCATCCAGCGTAGAGTGTCAAGGGCCCGCAGCAAGGTGGTGGCCCTAGACTTCAGGAGGGCCAACTTCAGTGAGATGAGGAGATTAGTGGGAGAGGAACTGGGGTCCTTGAGGGCAGAGGAACTCAGCGTCCAAGAGGAGTGGTCGTTCCTTAAGGAAACGATACTCGGGGCCCAAGGGGTGTCCATCCCGACAAGAAGCAAGGCGGGCAGGAGTGTCCAAAAGCCCCCCTGGCTCACCAAGGGTGTCCGGGAATGCCTGCTTGCCAAAAGGGTGGCGTACGCCCGGTGGAAGGGGGGTGTAATCTCCAAAGAGGAGTATACCTCCTCTGCTCGGGCCTGCAGGCGGGCTGTTAGGAAGGCCAAGGCGGAGATAGAGCTCGGATTAGCGTCCAGGATTAAGGATAACAAAAAGTCCTTTTTCAAATATATTGGGAGGATGAAGAAGGCGCCGGGTAATGTGGGGCCCCTGCAGGATATGCGGGGCAATCTGGTGGTTGCGTCAGAGGATAAAGCGGACCTCTTTAACCAATTCTTCACCTCCGTTTTCTTGTGCAGGGACCGGGACTTCCCTGCTGTGATAGAAGCCGGACGCGAGGGGATCGCCTTCAGACCTCAGGTTGGGGAGGACCGGGTTAGAGAGCTTCTGGAGGGGCTGGACGCGTTCAAGTCAGCGGGTCCGGATGCTCTCCACCCCAGGGTGCTGAGGGAGCTGGCTGGGGTTATTGCAGGGCCCCTGGCACGGCTCTACGAGCGATCGTGGTGCTTGGGCCAGGTGCCAGACGATTGGAAGGTAGCTAATGTGGTCCCCATCTTCAAAAAAGGGAAAAGGGAGGACCCGGGCAATTATAGGCCCGTCAGTCTTACCTCAATCCTGGGGAAGCTCTTTGAGAAGATCATCAAGGAGCACATTTGTGATGGGCCGGCATCCGAGATGATGCTCAGGGGCAATC